ATGACGGCCGCGCAGGGCAGCGCCGAGGGCGGCCCGGTCCCCTTGGGATGGGGACGAGGGCGCGCAGGGGCCCCAGGGGTTGCCCGAGGGCCCGAGTTCCAGAGCGGAGGTTCGAGGTGTTTTTTTGAGCGTTTGGCGTTGGAGCCGATGGGGGGGGAATGGGCACAGGGGGGAATTAAACACAGGAGGGGCTAGCGCATAGGGGGGGGGACAGGGAGGATAGGCAGAAGGGGCAACGATAAGGGAGGGATAGTTAGGCGTAGGATGCATCGACTCCCAATTGCCCATTGATCGCCGATACGGGTCTGATAGCCCCACCTCGCCCAGGAACGTGCGGATCCTCTATCGGGGGCCTGTCGCCGATCTATCGTTGATTTATCGAGTTTTTTTTGAGCGTTGGGAGTTGGAGCCGGCTACTTGGCATCGCTCGGACGTGTGCATTTTCTTTCGGCGAGGACCATCCTAGAGCGTCTTGCGACAAAAATAGGCGCACAAAGCCTTAATTACCATGTATGGGGAATGGACGTCCGAGCGATGCCGAGGCTAGTGGTCTGAGGTGCGCGGAACGCGGCGGGGAGATCTCGAGGACAATTCCACATGAGAGACGGGATGAGGAGCACGACGCCTTTTGCGCCTCGCCAAGGTTCGTCTTCTGCGCTCGTTCTTGCAACGGCTAGCGTCTGACAATTCCTACGCCCTCGCGGTCCGGATTCTGGGGCACGATCCTGCGGATACGCGGCTGCACGGATAATTACGCGCCGGGCATCCGCGAATAGAAAGACCCGCATCAGCGGGGTCGCGGCCCAGGGACCCGGCCCACGAGGCCACGGATACGCTTACGTGTTTCGACCACGACGGTCGCGTGTGGCATACGCGCGGCGGTCGTGGCACCCCTTCCCCTTTTGCCCAGGGCCTTCCCCCCCTCCGTTCGCTTCAGAGGCGACGATAGGGGCGAATAGCCCAGGGGCGAGCAATACATTTGGATTCAGGTGTGCCGATGATCTGCGTCTTCGAAAAGGCTCCTGGGCGAATATATGCAATGTCCGCCCCACTGGCTATTTTCGCCCCTATCGTCGCCGCCGATCGCTCCCTCTCGCTCGCGTCCCCCAGCTTGCAGCGGGCTGGTGGGGCGGGGGTGGCCCAGCACTGCTTCCGTGCAGCCGTGGTTCTGGCCAGCAGGAGTCAGGAGGGAGCGCGAACACACAGACACAATGGATCGCCCATTCCCCAGAGCAAAAAGAAAGTATGGGAAGTGGAGGGGAAGACAGACACCCAGAAAATATGGGAACATATGGGGAATCCGGTTGTTTGTGTCCATTTGTTTGTGTGTCCCAGGGCCCCTTCAAGAAGAAGGAGAGAAAGGGTGTTTGCTCGACGCCACGGATGCACGCGGCTCGAAAGTCTGGTGAGTTTCGACCCCGGGAGAGTTTTGGGGACTCATCTTGAGCGGATGTGTGTTCGTCCCCTTCCGGACAGGTGTTCTCGAGGGCCCACCCAGCGCAGACCCCCTTGGCCGGTTCCAAGTTTGCCAGGCCTGCTGGGGCTCTGGGAGCATTCTCGTCGCGGCAGGGGGCGCACAAGGAGACCAGAGCGGAGAGAGGCGAGCCAGAAAATGCCGAAAAAGCGAGTTGGAACATTCAGAAGACGAGCTGGGAAATTCGGAGATAGTGAAAGATTACACATGACGGCACTGACCGGGCAATTTCCCGGTTCGTTTCCGGGCTCGTTCTCTGAATTTTCTGGCTCGCCCCTCCGATTTCCTGGTTCGCTTTTTCCCCTCCTGCCACGGCCTGATTCCCCTCAAATTCTGGGACGCACCCCAGGAGAGGTGTGGGCTGACGATTTTCTCCAGCGTCGGGAAAAGTCAGATTGGCGTTCTCTCGCAATTCGCAGGTCTCTGTGCCGGCGGACGGCATGTCCGGCTCGGGGACCATCTGGAAAAGATCCGCAGCGTTGCGCCGACCTTCGGAGGGGGGGAGGGCTGGAGAGGTCGGGGAGAGGGACGGAGGCAGAGACCAGACCAAAGAGCGCCGCGAACAACGACTGTCACGACGCGCGCTCTTCACGGACTCCGGCCTTCGGGGGCCGCGCTCGTGCGCCAGGCCCATCGGGAGAGTGGCCCGCGGCGAGGAGCCGGCTCCCGGGCGGTAGGTAGGTTGGAGTCGGACGCCACGTGCAGTAATGCCAGGCCAGCCACAGTTGGGGGAGCTGTGGTCCTTACCCCCCTGGGGGACCCATCGATTTCGACACCTGCCATCTCGAGAGATCGTCGATGCGATGGGTTCCCACAGGGGGGTAAGGACCACAGCTCCGCCAGTTGTGGCTGGTCGGAATGGAGGGCGATGGGTGGGGGGGCCACGAGGGCTGCCAAAAGGGGGCTTTTGGGGGGCCTCTCATGGGGTAGGGCCCAGAAGGGGCCTCTCAGGGCCCCAGAAGAGCACCTTTCTCCGCTGTCCCAATTGATCGCCTCCCCCCATTCATTCGCGCCCGGTGGAGGTGCATGGAGGTCCGCGCCGCGAACAGGCCACGGCGTCGTTGGCCATGACAGGGAGGAGAACGGAGAGGGCAGGGAGAGCGGATGATGTGGAGGAGGACGGAGAAGGACAGCTTGAATGGTCTTGGCAGGGAGGGAGGAGGACAGTTGGGAGGAGGAGGGTGGCGTATGCGATCGAAGAGAAGAGCAATTGCACACGCAAAATTTATGAGGCCCGCGTGTATTTCTCGGGTCGGCGCCGCCCCGACGTCCCCCCCGGCTCCAACCCGAGAAATTCATGCGGACATCAAACACATGTGGCTTACGCATGTTGCTGAGCTTCCAACGAGGAGGGTGTACAGTCGTGTTCCGGCCGCTCCTCCGTCTGAATGCATTGGGGGCTACGTCCCCTACGATGGCCCATCCTCATCGAGCGAGCGGGTACGAGGACGAAGCCGAGTTCGCTGCGCCCTGTGGTTCTCTATGCTGCTCCGAGCTGCCCGGAAGGTTTGCACGGAGCAGGAAGAGGAGGAGGAGCAGGAGGAGGAGAGGAGGAGGACGAGGAGGAGGAGGATGAGGAGGAGAGGGAGGAGGATGAGGGGCGAGGTCGCCACGATCAGCTCCAAGCGTGGCATCACCATGGTCACCATTCGCAGCACCCGCATGCTCGGGCAGCACGGCTTCTTGGCCAACATATTTGAATTGTTCGAGAAGTTCGGCATTTCGGTGGACGTTGTCACGACTTCGGAGGTCCAAGGGGGGCGCGGTAGAGGAGGACGGGACAGAGGAGCATGATCAGAATGGGAAGACCGCAGGAGAAAGGGAGCCGGTTTCCTTGCGAAGCATACGCGGTAATTTCTGGAGGCGTTTTGAGGCGTTCCCTGTGTTTGCGGCGTGTTTGCCCCCAAACTTTCCTGTGGAGTTGAGTCCGCGTTTTGAATCCGCAGGGCCGCGCCACTCCTTCTCCCTACCACCTCCCACTCCTCGTGATCCTCTTTCGCTACGTGCCCACGGCAGTTTCGGCACACCCCCTCACACGGATCATGGCCCACAGGGAATTCCATTCACGGCCTTGCCATGCAAGTTTGCATGCCACCCCCCCGCCGATTTCTGCACGCCTCTCCCGCAGACCGTGCTCCGCATGGGATCTACCTGCCCCCTCTGTGGGCAAGTTTGCACGCCGCCCCTCCGCCGATGGTACATCCCTCACACGGATCACGCGGATCGCGCCACGGTGGATGTCTATTCTCGGCCCCAGTGGGCAAGTTTGCATGTTGTCCCCCGCCGCCCATCTTGGTACACTCGTCACACGGATCGCGCCACACAGAGAGTTCGCGCGTTATTGCACGTTTGTTCCGCAGCCTCCTTTTTCGCATTCGCCCGGGCACGCAGTAGATGAGCAGAAATCCACGACATGCGGTGTACGCAGCTGCACAGGGTATGGCCCATCTCCGTGATAGGTGTCCGAGAGGTGGGGAGGAGGAGGAGGAGGAGGAGGAGGAGGAGGAGGAGGAGGAGAGGAGGAGCTGGAGGTGGAGGGGGGGGAGGAGGGGGGAGGAGGGAGGAGGAGGAGGAGGAGGAGGAGGAGGAGGAGGATAAGGAGGAGGAGGAGGAGGAGGAGAAGCTGGAGGATGAGGAGGAGGAGGAGGAGGCGAAACTCAAATACATGGCGGGATGGGTAGCAGGGGAGGGGGGAGTGCCAGCTCTGCACCGCGAGTCCCGAGGTCTTAGTGTGAGGCGGTCGACCCACAGCATGCGGGGCAACGCTCTTCCCTCCTGTGTGAACTGTGGCATCACGCTGCACGGGGGTATACATCGCGAGGTCGCGCACGCGCACGCGAGCGCACGCAGATCTGCTGCAGCAGAATGGATCACCGAACGCACGCAGACAGCGCACATGCGCGCAGGCACGCACACGTTGCGTCATACGATCTCTCGAGGAGGGCAAACACAGCACGGGTGGATGGGTACAGAGCTCTACCATTTAGATTGATGACGTTGTATGCCCCTCCGTTGGCCTCAAGCTCCAAAACTGCATCCGCCAGAGATCCCCTATGAGCCCATCAAAGCCCAAAGCCCTCCTAGCATCCCCCCTCAAGCCCTACCTCTCTCCCCCCTCCACACTGCCCCATGTCTCTGGGCCTCTTGGGGGTCCTGGGGCAACCTTGCGGAACCTTGTGTGGGGCGGGGAGGGCGGAGTCCCAGCTTGGCCCGTGGCACCCTCTCGCTGACCCCCTTTGGGGGGCCTCCCTCGGGGCCGTCTCGGGGGCCTCCCCTGGGCCCCTCTGAGGCCCCTCCCCCCTGCGAGAGGTGAGCGTGTCGCTGACGCTCGACCCCAGCGACGAGGTGGACCGCCTGCCCGAGCTGCGCGCGGAGCTGCAGAGCTTCGCCACCGTGGAGGCCCCACCGAGCCCCCGCCGCGGCGACGCCCGCGGGCGGCCACCTCGACCTCGAGAGTGATCGAGCCCCTGCGGCAGGGGCGCGCCGCTTCGGGGCGGTGGCGATGCCCTGGACGCGCGCGGGGAGGAGGTGGAGGATTAGGAGGAGGAGGAGAAGGAGGAGGAAGAAGAGGAGGAGGGGGACCCCTCCATCATAAACCCCCGCCCCCCCCCCTCGAGCCCCGTGCTCGGAGGCCGGCACTTGCGGGAGGGGCGCGCCGCCTCGGCGTGGCGGCGGCGCCCTGGGGGCGCACGCGAGGCTGAACGCCCCCCCCCCCCCCCCCCTCCCTCCTTTCCTTGTTCAGGCCCCCCACGTGGGGTCCGAGTAGGTCTAGTTGTTCCAGGCCCTCCTTCCATGGCTTGACCTAAACGCTGTTTTGCTGGACTTCGTCTGTGTTGTGTGCTTTCCTTTTGGCAGGGAGGTACAGGAAAGCAGGTAGAGCAACACGAATAACGAAACGACAGCAAAACGAAAAACAACGTTTCGGTCCAGCCTTGTTCCAGGCCCCCTTCGTGGGGTTCGAGTGGGTCGGAGGACCGCGCCGCATCGCCAATGCATCGGCCATGGGGCTTGATGTGGAGCCTCATTTTCCCCACGCCAGCGTCGCCGACGCATCGCCGACGTCGCCGGTGCATCGCCGAGGCATCGGGAATGCATTGTTGATGCGACGCGATCATCCAACCCCATCTCATTACTCGATTCCCAATTGGGAGGCCCCTGCTTGTTCCCTTCGATTGAGTGTCTTCGAGGGCTCCCCGTCTCCACAGCCAGGCGCGGCTCGACACGACCGCCGGCACAGGCCACAGGAGGAAGGGGCCTTGGGGGTCCTGACAGATCGGTGGATCTACATTGTTTGGGGCACCTCGTCCTCGGGACCAGTCCCTCAGGACCCATCTTTGAGCCACTGACGGGGCGCCGACTCCGAGCGGATGCTGGCCACGCCGCCTCGACGCGGGCGGGCGGCAGCAGCGCGGGGGTTCCAGGTACAACGCCCTCTTCAAACCCGTCTCCTCCTCCTCCCCTTCCCCCTCCGTAGCCATTTTGGCGCAAGTCCTGAGCACACCGCGGGAGGTGCAGGACTCAGCACTGCCATCCAGGAAAGGCCCTGGGTGTTCGGGCTCAAGACTTCGTTTTGCCCAGTGCCAGCCTGGTCAGCCCCAGGCAAGAGGCACAATCACGTCCCGCACTAGTGCCACCTGCTGGGCCCATAGCCTGTGTGTGCTGCAGCGCAGAGGAGACAGGAGATGGCGGCGGCCCAGAGGAAGTAAGTCATTTGCTCAAAGCGTGGTTGTAAAGGGTGGGCTTGGTGTTCTGCTAATGCTCGCCATTGCATCCAGTGTGGCAATATATTCAAGCAGCGCACGGAGACAGCTTCGTGCGCAGATCGACCAGCAGGGGGAGGAGGAGGAGCTCAGGAGGATCGGCATGACGAGCAAGTGCCACCGTCCAAACCAGGCCGCTGGAGACAAAGCTCCCGCGGACCTGAGCTACCCCCTGGTCTGGGCCGCGGAGGTGGTCGAAAGGTCACCGCCGCAGAGGACGACACCCACAGTGAAGATTCCGTGGCCCTGGCCCAAGGACAGGTCACGTTTTGGAAGAAGTGGAAACCAGACGGAGAGGAGCACAAGACAGCGCTGGGCAAGCTCAAGTTCGCCAAGGCGCAGGCCCTGTCCGCCAAGAGCTTGGAGCAGCAGGCTCAGTCGTTGTCAGATCAGTTGCAGGTCGCGCGCCAGAAGATCACGGCCCAGAAGAAAGAAGCGACGGAGTTGGTGCACACCATCGTCGAGGCCAGCGAACACCACGGCAAGCTGGTCGAGGATATTGAGACCAACACCAAAGAAGTGCAGTCCCTGGAGTCTCAGCTCAACCTGGCAAAGCAGGCAGCAGCGTACGAGGCATCCAAGGGTGAGGACCTGCTCACCACTCTCCAAGGCATGCTGGCTGCTCGCATGCCCGTGGGAGGGGAGGCCCCACCACAACTACGAAGTGATGTATCGGAGCTGGCGCAGCTGTTCGACAACATGCAGCATCAGCACACCAAGTATGTGGAGACCCAGGCGAAGGGCGATGGCAAGGACAAGGGGGCTCAACCAGCACAGGAACCTGACGGCTTCCCCGCAGTTGGCGAACGAGTTGATGAGCCAGAAGCGCCCCAGCCCATTCCAGGACAGCATGTACCGACGCCAGAGGGCGACACGGAGCTGGAGTACGCCCCGCTCGCCGACGCCGCCGAAGCGACCCCGATGGACGAGTCGCAGGGCCGTGCACGGGCTGCTGCGGCACTGGAGCAGGTCGCCAGCGGCATGGCCAAGATCCAGGGTGACGGCGGCCCCGAGGCCAAGAAGGCCAGGGCGGCTGCAGCGGCCGCAGTGGTCGCAAGTGAGGTCCCGCCGTCAGGGTAACCAGAGTTATAAGCTAGCCACCATCAATGGATCGCGCTGGCCTGCTGTTCGCAAGTTTTTGCAATCACCGCGGGCCAGCGCAGTCACTACCGCTTGTGCCCAGGAGTGTAAGTTAGCCAAAGGCGATAGCATTGTGCGCCAGATACAATGGTGCGCGTCTCAAGGGCGGCTGGCCTACATAGCTCCTGCTGCAGTGAACCCCAACAATGAGCTGATTTCGGGAGTCGCGATTTTGATTCGGGATGGTTTGGACCTGGGGGTCCAACCTCTGCTGATTCCCTCGGGGTGTGGTCCCGCTCGTTTGTCTGGGGTGACCCTGGAGCTCCCAGGGATCCCACCATTTGTTTTGTGTCCAACGTATTGCCAAGCTGCTGCTGGTCTCTCGGGGGCCAGTTTAAACCTCTTGGCCACCATAGGCCAGCTTCAAGATGACATTGCGCATCCAGTTTTGGCCGCGGGGGATTTCAATTTGAACCCCACCAGGCTGTCCCAGGCCGAGTTTCTGTCCAGGTCCATTATGGCCGTGCTCGCGCCCCCGACAGCCACCTACCGAACCAAGAAGACCAAGTCGACTCTCGATTAGTTTGTCTCCAGCCAAGGCCTCGCGCCTTGGCTCCAGAACCCCCGCGCCCTGGCCTCCTACCCTCTCTTCCCTCATAGGCACGTGCTGTTGGATATTGCTGTCCATGATAACTTTTATATCCCCTCGCTGCATAGGCCCCAGAAGCTGCCCACCCATATCCCAGTGGGCCCGCAATTACCAGAAGTGAGTTGGCACCAGACTGCCGCGATCATGGACTATGCATTGCAAGTGATCGAAGATGCCCAACGGCCTCTCTCCGATCAGCAGTCGACTACGATCCTGGACCACGTGCACTTCACCCTGGCCCAGGACTTGGAAGCTACAATCAGTGGGGGACCAACGCCCCTATCAAACCCAGTAAGTCCCCCAGGGCTAACCCCCCTCTGGTTCTGAAGGCCCCCGCTGAGGCCAAAGCGGCTCGCAGCAGAGCCAATTGGGTGGCCTACGCGGGCCCGTTATGATGGTTGTGTAACCGTGTTCAGGAATTCAGACGCTGCATTCAGGACTGGGACTTGCTTGAGTTCCAAGAAGTCCAGGACAGCTGGGGGGGTTGCCCCGAGTTGTTCACCACCGCGGTGTCCCTCAAGGAGGGGCTTCAGGATGTACGAGTATCTGCAGGTTTGCTACTTATTGGTTTTCAGGCTGGCGTTCTAGACCAGACGTTGGCGTTGCAAGTACTAGACGAGCTGCTAGAGCAGATCACCAAGCTCCTGCACCAGGAGCAGGCGGCGGATAATGCCGCTGATGGGAAAGCTTGGAGGGAATGGGTTCAGTCGAACATGAACAGGGGGAATCGGATGGGCTCACAGATGGTCCAAACGGCGGGAGGCCTGGCGCCCGACATCGGTGCAATACCAGTCTCAGCACACAGGCAGGCCCCAGCATATTGCAGGTCGACGCTGATCGTCTAGCAAAGATATGGCAAGTGCCCCCCCCCCCCCCCTCCCCCGAGACCCCACCTCAACTCGTTCCTGATACCGATGACCGTGTCGTCCCGGGACCGATTACCCCCAAGAGACTTCGACAAGTTGTTCGCAGTTTTCCTCGCGCCACAGCTTCGACATGGGATGGTTTTCAGCCGCGGCACTTCAGTATGTTGAATAATGTGCAGGCGGAGATCGTCTGCCAATTTATCGCTCTGATCGAGAAGGTTCGTCACATGCAGGCTCTGCTCCAGGGGATTGCCTCTACGCTTATGATTAAACAGAAGCAACATGAGACTCCAGTCAGCCAGCCCTCTTTCAGGTCCATTGGCATGCTACCAGCGCTCCATCGTGCCTGGGCCCGCCTTAGGAGGTCGGCAGCCAGAGAGTGGGAAGCCCACCATCGTCGGCCTTATCTAGCTCACCAGGCTGGCCACTCGATTGTTGAAATTGTATACAAACAATCCTTGGAATGCGAGGTCAACAGCTCAGCCAAAGATCAACCATACAGCGCCCAGGTCCTCTATGATCTATCTAGATACTACGCACATGTTGATCGGCCACGTCTAGCACGCCGTGCTGTTGAGTCAGGTTTTCCTTGTTGTTTACTTCGCATCATTCTATCGCAGTACGCCAACGAGCGTATCGCTCCGTTGCAAGATTGTGCGGTGAGCGTCGGCAAACTTTGGAGGGGTATTGCTGCTGGCTGCAGTTGGGCCACGTGCCTTGTGCAGATGTATGTGGTCGCTCCCTTGGACATATGGACACAGGCCCATAGTACATAAGACTCGCTATGTTCATTGAGGATTCGCAACTACAGTGCCACGGCCGCAGTTTCAGCCTCATCGTTAGCCAGTTGAACATAGCCGCCAGATCGATGCTGGATTGCATCATCCACGAGTTTAAGTGCCAGATTGCCAGCAAGACGTCCCAGGTGCTAGCGTCTCACCAAGCATTGCAGGACCAACTCAGGACCAAGCTGGGGCCCCTGGCAGGCCCGAACTCTGATCGTTCGGGCCCCAACCTGGGGGTTGAAACTGGTGCTGGCCGCCC